CTGTGAAGTTCAAGAAGAGCAGAGCCACAGAGCTCTCCTTGACCAGTCCGCCTACGCACGTCCTCCCAAGTGGGGGTGGTGACAACGGGGTCTGACTCAGAGGGTGCACTCACGTGGGGTCTGGAGCAGGGCGTGCGCAAGGGTGGCTGGGGAAAAGCCATGAAGCCGGTGGCCTGGCTGCTCTTGCCCAGTCGGGCTCTGCTGGCATCTGAATGCCCCAGGGACTCGGGGGTCCCAAGTCCGCCCACCTCCTGCAGCCACGGCAGCAGGGCCCTCCTCAGGGAGTAGGGGGTGCGGGTGGGGCTGCACCCCCCAGAGAGGGATGTCACCAGGGTGCCAAGATGTTGGGGGGCGGGGTGGGGGAGCTCTGCCCGGATGTCAGTCCAGGTCTGAGGGACCCGCGCCTCTGAGTTCTGGGAAGAATGACAGCCACGCAGATGGGAAGAGCATCAGCTACCATGAAGTCAAACTGACTAGAAAACATGATTAATTTTCTGCTTAAAGAAGCAGGCTATAAGACTTTTTTTAAAAGCTGCCTTCACTTTTTCTTTTTTTTTTTTTTTGAGTCAGAGTCTCACTCTGTCGCCCAGGCCGGAGCGCAGTGGCACGCTCACGACCACCCCTGCGTCGACCCGCTGGGCTCCGGCAAGCCTTCCGCCTAAGCCTTCCAAGTAGCCGGAACTACAGGTGCGTGCTACCACACCTGGCTAACTTTTTAATTTTGTAGAAACGAGGTCTCACCAAGTTATCCGGGTGGGTCTCGAACCCACAGTCTCCGGCAATCCACTCGCCTCGGCCTTCCAAAGTGTTGGGATTACAGGCTGAGCCACACCAAGTCCGGCCCATTTTTGACTTTTGGGGTTTTTTTGTTTTTTGAGTTGGAGTCTCACTCTGTCACCCAGGCTGGAAGGCAGTGGCACGCCCCTAGCCACCGCAGCCTCCACTTGTTGGGCTCAGGCGATCTTTCCACCTCAGCCTTCCAAGTAGCCAGAACTACAGACACGTGCTACCACACCTGGCTAATTTTTGATTTATTGTAGAGACGAGGCCTTGCCAGGTTGCCCGGGTGGGTCTCGAACCCACGGGCTCAGGCAATCCACTCGCCTTGACCTCCCAAAGTGCTGGGATTACAGGCTGGGCCACCGAACCCAGTCTACCTTCACTTTTAATTAGAGATGTTAGAGCAGTATCTGTCCCTCCATGCCCAGGGCAGGGGAGTGGGGCAGCTCAGGACTCCACCTGGCCACTCCTCCTAGGACTTTAGCAGGAAGCAGCCCTGGGTAACTCGGCCCATAGGCAGTGGGAGGAGCGCCGAGCCAGAAGCCCCCAGCCCAGCAGAAGAGTGTCCCCGAGGAGGAATAGGTGGCATGGAGGTCATGAGGGATTGGGCAGCCAGGGGGACAGGGCCAGGCCCAGAGGCAGCTGTACAAGGGATCTCTGACAGCTTCAGGAAGTGCCCACGGGACCCAAGAAAGGATTCCATAGGCAGAGCCAACCAAGCAGAGCTTTGCTGTTTTGTTTTGAATTCCAGGACTCGGAGCCTGTGGTAAGCGGGTGTGTGTGTACCTCTTCAAGTGGCAACGCCTCCAAAGCTTCGCGGCCAGGGAAACATTCCCCGGACCCCCTCCCAGGACACTAGTGTTCCAGGGACTCTCCCAGCTTCCATGGCAGCCTTGAGTTTCATGGGTGCTGGTGCCCACAGTCAGCCCGCATCCTCAGAGCCACAGGGCAGGGAGTCTCTGACTCACAGAGTCCTTCACAGTTCAGTCTGGATGGACACTGTCCAGGTGCACCACTCTTGGGCCGAGGCTCTGGGACCAGCTACCGGGGCCTTGACACCACAGGGGCTCACATCTCCTCGTGTCGGCAGGCAGTGCCGCTGCCGCTGGTCGAGGGAGCCAGCTCAGAACCGCTGGCCTGGTGAAGGCCGTGTGCTGTCCAGGAAAGCTGCCCACTGGCGGGCACTCCTGAGCTCCCCATCCCCCGGGAGAGGCGCCGAGTCCCAGGCCCCAGAGCGGAACCTCCCCAGCAGGTTGGGCTGAAGGAATCGCCTGGAGCCCGTGGCTCGTGGGAAAAACCCGTCCTCCATTTCTTGGAGCGTCCTCATGCCTCCCTGGGTGGTGGGGTCAGTCACCAGTCCCTGTGGTTCCAGTGGCTGTCACTGGCTCTGCCCTGGCAGCTCCGGCTGGAGGAAGGTGGGTGCTGCAGACACCTAGAGAAGCCAACCCTTTCCCAGCTGTCTGCTGCGGACCCCGGGGTAGGGGAGCACACGACAGGGCCCATTCCTTTCATCCTCAGCAGGAGGAAGATCACCCCTTCACCCCACTCCGGGGTCCAGGCAGGTACTGGCCTGGCAGTTCTCGAAGATGCATAATTCATCCCACAAGTAAGTGCACGTGAGCACGGCCTTCTGTTCTGTCCCCTGCTCGGTTTCTGCACAGCTGACCTCCAGGAAGACGTCCAAGTACGTCCCAGGCTGCGTGTTCCCTGGGTCCCCAGATGGCAGAGGTTTTTTTTGGGGGGGTTGATTTTATTTGAGAAGAGGGCTCTGCTGCTACAAACAAGTTTAAAAACAACCCCCACGGTCCCCGTCAGGCCCAGAACCCCAGGAAACCACGATGGTCGGGACCCTCATCTGTCTCGGGAGAGGACCCACCGTTGCCTCCACGGCATGTGCACATCCTTGCTGAGGGGCTGGTACCCTGAGAACACAGAAGGTTCTAGCAAGACCAGGCACAAGCAAAGCCACCCCCATCTCTGGGATGGGGGTGGCTTGGCTCTGGATGAGCAAAACAAGAAGCCGAGAGTCAGAGGTTTCACCAGTAGAAACAAAGAAGCAAAATCATCCCTGAGTTGGTGCTGTCTCCACCCTGGAGGGACCTCAAGGGAGGCCCCGAGGCTGGGGGGACCCAGGCAGACTGTCCTCCTGGGCCTCAGGGCACGGGTCAGCGTCCCTTGTGATGACAGCGAGATGCCACGGCAGGGGGGTGTCACCTTAACATGTGCGGCCATGGGCCCCTCGTGGCAGCGCCAGAGGGACTCGAGCTCTATCTGCGACATGTGAACAAACCACAGAGCAGCACCGCTAGTGCCTTTAACACAGGTTGCCTTTTATTCTCTTTACATTTAAACAAGAGCAGAAGATGAATTTTCTGTTTTTCTTTTCTTTCTTTCTTTCGTTCTTTTTTTTTTTTTGGTCTTTAAAGTGACAAAAAGGGGGGAAAGGAAAACACTCTTACAGACGACAGAGCAGGTTTGTTTTTCCTTGTCATGCTGAAGCCTGTTTGAAAGCAACAGTCCTTCCCCTCCTCACAGTACTGGAAACTCATAGCAGCATCTCAGGGACACGGAGACCTCGGAGGTGCTGGGTGCCCGGTGGGACCACACTCTGGGATGAACATGGAGGGGGAGACGCCTCTCAAGTGCCCCGAGACCGGCACCCAAGAGTCAGGAAGGAGAACCCCACGTGTGCAATTTGGTTTTTCTGAAGCCTAGGGGTGGCCTCAAGTGGAGTGGCCGAGATGGCTGTTCCCGGGAGGACCCTCTGTGGCTGGGTACAGGCACCCACGTAGCAGCCCACGAGGCCAGCGGCAGGCCCTTTTCCTCCGGGAGACGCCCTCGCCGGGGGGCCGCCACACCCCCAGCACATGAAGCAGCAGCAGCAGCAGCAAAGGTGTCACCGCGTCCTGGCTGCCTCTCAAAGCAGGGAAGCCAGAGCTGTGGTGGCAACCAGTACGTTCGGCTGAGAGAGGAGGCGCTGGCTCCGGGCGGCCCCAGCCTGGACATGCCACTCGTCTCTGGGCAGCCTCATGCCAGATGGCCACCGTGCCCAGCGTGTTTCCACACACCGCCGGCCAGAAGGCACACAGGGGTCCCGCAGACGGAGGTCAGAAGCTCCAGCACAAGAGCTGTGCCCTCGTTGTCAGTGACCTTGGGGGAAAGAGAAAGAGGCAGAGGTCACCGCGGGGGCCAGGAGGGGTCTGTGTCAGGCCGGGGCGCCTGAGCTACCTCCCTCAGGCTCTTGGTGCACGCAGGAGCCGCAAGGTCCGCCAGCCCCCAACAGCCCTCAGCACATCGAGATTTCCACCTCTCGGCATCCATGGCCTGGCCATGCCTGGGGGAGGAGCTTCGATGGCTCAGGGGTCTGGACCACAGGACACCCTAAAGTCCAAGCAGCCCTTTGGCCAGACACACAGGGGAACTGAGAAGTCTGTTGTACTAGAAACTTCCGGCCCTCATGGTGGGTGTTAGCGGTCATGCATGTGCCAGGACTCCTGGTGCAGAGGGACCCCAGAGTGTGACAGGGGCCTCACAGCTTACTGATACCCCATCTGAAGAGACCTGAGCCCAGGAGGAGCCCTGAGCCCTCTAAGCCTTGCTTCCCCAGAACACATTCCTGGAAAGGGAGTCCCCCTGGGGTGGAGAGGCTAGACCCTGAGAAGAAAATCCTTTCCCAGGGTGGAAGGGACCCTAGGTGTCAGCTCTGCTTTGACTGCACCCCCACTTCCCACCTGGCCACCCAGACATGCTTCCGGTGGCCACCCCAGGCAGACAGACCCAACTGGGGGCAGATGGTCACTTCAGCCTGGTGTCTCCAGGCCAGTCCTGGGTCCTGAAAAAAAGCGGCCCCTGGAATCCAACAGATTGAGGGAAAGGTTTTCTCAATCCAAATGATCCGCCCAGTGGTCGGTGGAGAGGGAGGTGCAGGAGTCACAGCACAGCCCACCTCCCAGTCACCTCCCAGGTGGGTGGTCCCAGCACCTGGAGGCAGGAGGAGGGCCAGGGAGGGGACGAGGGTCTTGGAAACAGTACATGGGAGGGAGGGTCAAGGTGGCTCCGGGAAGGAGTCCCACGAGAAAAGGAAACTCCTGGAAGCCATGAGCTGTCCCAGGAGAAATTCTGCCTGCCCTGAGATCACTGGCTGTGAGAAAGACCAGCCAGCACTCGAGGAGGCCTAGTGGGTGCATGCAGGTGTGTGTGTGTGTGTGTGTGTGTGTGTGTGTGTGAGAAAGTATACTAGGGAGACCCCAAAATAAACCCGGAACTATCTTTTGGAAGGCAAGCTCAGAATTCGTTCCCTAGATCAAACGGTCACCCAGTTTCTACCTGTAAGTTTTGAGAAAATTGAGTCACGATTTGTGGAAGAAACATCCCGAGTCTGACAGACAGGCGGGCTGGCTCTTCCACCATGACAATGCACCTGCCCACTCTGCACTGACCAAAAGGGCGTGTTCCCCACTTCCCACCTCCCTATTCACCCCATCTCAGTCTGAGAGACTTCTTTTTTGTTTCCCTGGATGAAAAAAGTCCTCAAAGGGAAATGTTTTGCTGATGTGGAAGAGGTGAAACAAAAAAATAGCATAAGCACTAAAAGGCATCCAAATGGATAAGTCCAAAAATTGTTTTGAACAGTAGAAAAAGCATCTCGATAAGTGTGTTGCATTAAACAGAGAGTACTTTGATGGTGACTAAAGTTTTAAAATGTAAGAATGAACATAATTTTTATACATAAATTCTGGGGTTTTGGGGGGTCCCCCCTTTGTGTGTGTGTGTGTGTGTGTGTGTGAGTGTGTATGTATGTGCAAGACAGAGAGTGTGTTTGTGTGTAAGGGGACGCTGGCCATCTCCACTATCCCAGCTGAGACGTCTGACCTGGCCAACACCACTGCCCCGTGACATATAGAAGTGTGAGAAATACAAGCCAGTGTTGTTTTAAGCCACGGTGTTTGAAGAAGTTAGTTAGGACAGAGGTAGAAAACAGAAACAAAGACCTAAAGTGCCTGAGAGCTTTAGAGTTTTTTTGGTCTTCAAGAGCTGGACACAAATGAATGACAAGACTATAAAAACTAAGCAGGCCAAAGAGAAGGCAAAGATCACCTCTGCAGGAGTTGAAAAAAATACACTTATGATTATCTATATAGGCTGCAATTAATAATGTAAGCGCTGAACCTTGATTTAGCCAAAAATTATGCTTGCATGCCTGTGTGGTAGGAAATAGCAGATTATATGACTGCAAAATCATTGTGCATAAAAAAACGTTCATAAATAATGTCCAAACTGAAAAAGAACAGAGAAACAGCATAAGTCCATCTTTTAGAAAAATGAAGATACATTATTTACATTATATACTTTATATGACTAGCGGACTTTTAAAATTTGAACATAAATCACATTGATATAAATAAAAATTAAAAGAAAAGAAATTGCATTGGGGACCATCTTACTATCATGTGAAATAAGAATCAAGGCCTTTCCCATTCACAGCTAACAAGACACATGAGGCAGGTAGGTCTTCACAGAGAACCGGCCATTTATCTCCAAGCAGCTGCCTCTGGGCCAGGTTAACCCCAAGTGGGTTCTGCACAGTGGAGGCCAGATCCCCCCAGGCCAGCCTTTCAGGGGGATGGTTGGGTTGCCCAGGACCTACCCTGGCAGGGAGTAGGTCCCTCCCTCCCTGGGAGGCCCTGCAGGGCTGGCTGATGGGGCGTAAATCCTCTGTTGAGGTCCAACCTGGCCTCGTGTGGGGATACTTGGACTCCCCAGACCTTCCTGCACGAGGCAGTGTTAGCCCCCAGGTATAAGACAGGGAGTAAACACTGGGTTCCTCAGGGGCCCACAGAAGACCCTGAGGCAGGAGGGGTGAGGAAGACCCAAGGACATTTCCTCCCAGCTGCCCTCAGTGGAGCTCCTCACCGAGACACTGTAGTCTGAGCACCTGACACCGCCCAGTGAGGTGGGGAAGGAAGAAGAGACTGTGCCTGACACACATACACACACACACACACACACACACACCCACCCCCTGAGGGTCAGAGAGGCCCACCAACTGCAGTCACAGTAAAACACATCCAAAACTCAGATCCTTCCTTGGAAACCATCACTCTCAGGGTCTCCAGGTTCAGGAGATAAGAAAACCTCCTGACTGTACACAGGAACTGACTCTGGGGCGTGCAGGACAGTCCCCATGTTCTGGCCCCCAAGCCCCCCTGCTGCCCTCGGGAAATGGTCAGCACACCCTCTGTGAGTCAGTAGGGGCATGGGGGGCGGGGAGCTCCATGGATGGGCAAACATCAGTTGCGGGAAGGTTGTGTGTATCTTTGCTGGTGGCATGGTTTCCCTGGACACTGTTTGCTGTTTGCAAAAATAGACCCAAACCATAAGACAAAACTCTGGGCCTGATTCTCGAATCCCCGACCACTGCCCACCTGAAGGGGTCGTGTAAGCCCACCAAACACCACCCCTGAATGTCATGCCCTTGGAGACACGTTGATCGAGACACCAGGTTGTCCTTCCCTCTGCAGGTGCTCTTAGGACAGGGGTGAACACCCGCCCCTTATCAGCACTGCCTGTGATGGCTACCAAGACCCTCCCATACTCCCTCCATATCCCCAGGAGAGGGGATGTGAGGGGACGCGGAACACAGAGACCCACTTAAAAAGGGAAGTACCTAGCCCACAGTACACCCAGGAGGAGGGGTGCGCCAGCCCCGGGTATCCAGCACCATAGAGAGGGTGAGGGTGGTGTGAGGGCAGCAGTGACCATAATCCTGGAGGCCAGAGGGCGGCTTGGGAACGGTGGGTGGACGAAGCCATAGCCACCTTGTTTGGTCCCTTCATATCTGTGGATAAGATGCTGCACCAAGGGAAGCCCCTGCTCCCCAAATAACCAGGGCTTGTGCCTGAGAGGGGAACCCCATGAGGCCCATGGCCTTGCTGGCCAGGGTTTCATTCACTGTGTCCGCCTGGACAGCAGATTGGGTACCGGGGGTGCGGTGCACGGAGATGGTCAGGCCGCCTCTGCTAAGGACCACAGTCAGATAGCACCACCCACCCCCTCCATCTAGTCCACCCAGGCCCCAGCTCTGACCATGTCCCCCGCAGGGAAGGCAGAAGCCTGGGGCAAATGCTGACCCTCCCCACGCTCAGGGACAGTGGTTTTTGCCTCTGACCTTGGGCAGCAGCCACTTCCCTACCCAGGCAAAGGCACCGACTCAGGGTCCTGAGAAAATATTCCACATTGGGCAGAACATGACCCAATGTTGCCGTGCCTGGCAAGTGTGTGGATCCAGCACGCAAGAATGAGACGCACTGTTTTCTCGCTGTGATGCTCACATGATCTAGACCAGAGCTATTCAACTTTTTGGCTTCCCTGGGCTGCATCCAGGAAAGAGGGATCGTCTTGGGCCGCACATCAATTATATAATATAGTTAGTATATATACATAATATGACTTCTTTTAAAAATATTTTTATTATAAAGTTTAGAAAAATGAGAATATAAAACTAGTGAAAAATTTGACCTTGTTTTGTAAAACTAATCTATCAAGTTCTGGTTCAATGGAAGTGGTTGCAATTCTTGGTGAGTTCTCAGGTGTTTGTCAGAAGTATTTGTTCAAATTTTGCTCTTTATGTGCTTTGTAATTGATGACTGCTGCTCACAAATGTATGAACTGCCAAAAAGTGATGTCTTGAATAGGTGTGATTGTGAACTTCAAAAACGAGACTATGCATGGGGTCGCACAGAAAATAATCACTAAAAAACACATGATAGCCGGGTTCCGTGGCTCAGCCTGTAATCTCGCGACTTGGGAGGCTGAGGTGAGCGGACTGCCTGAGCCCGCGGGTTCGAGACCCGCCTGGGCAACTTGGCAAGACTTCATCTCTACAATAAATCAAAAAATCAGCCGGGCATGGTAGTGCGCGCCTGTAGTTCCAGCTACTCGGAAGGCTGAGGCGGAAGGATCGCCGGAGCCCGGCAGGTCGAGGCTGCGGTGGCCAGGAGCGGCCACTGCACTCCAGTCTGGGCAACAGAGTGAGGCTCCAACTAAAAAAAAAAAAAAAAAAAAATGATGTGCTTGGGAGCGTGTGTGCGTGCACAGTGTGTGGATACAAGAGTGCAAGTGTGTTCATGTGTACACATTTGTGGGTGCAT